TTAGGGTTTAGGGTTTAGAGTGCGGGTGCAGGGTCTTCTAGGTATTGGTGAATGTACATGGTGCTGCTCAGGATTAGGGGTGAGGGTGGTTTTCGGGTGTGTCTTCTCCGGAAACTAACAGGCCAAAAAACCCTAAGCACTACCTGGAAACGGAGCCACAGCCCGGAAAGCCTTAAATCCCACAGCCTAAATCCAAAGCCTCTGAGCCCTTAGAGCCCTTCCAAGAGTCTTTAGAACTTTGCAAACCGCTCTTGAAAATCCCTCATAAATCTTTCATTAAAACATGACGTTAAAAACCCTTAAGGGGCCCTTCACAGAAACGGCTACAGCGCCCTTTGGTGAAGCCTGTCAAAACGAATCTTTGCTTACAGAAACCCTAAACCCTAAACCCTCCTTTATAGAATCTGCTTGTAGAACCCTTTCTATGCAAAGTTCAGGGCCCCGGCTGCTGACGCCATGTCGATGGGATGGTAAAGAAGCTTTTGGGCCTGAGACAAAGTGCTTCCTGCTCCAGACCCTGTATGTGGGTTTTCAGAAGGGTGGTACAGTGGTTTAGGGCTTTTGTGCACGGGCCTTTGCAGGGTTTTTTGGTGTGCTTGGGCCTTGTTCTTATTTTGTAAGACTTTGCATGGTCTGAAAGCCTAAATCCTTACAAACCCGACAACACCACATATCCAAAAACCTGAAAAACTGAGTAAAACTGACATGAAACCCGAGCAGACCCATGTAAGACCCATAGAAACCCCTGACAAGGCCCGATGAAACCCCTAGAAACGCCCGTAACATCGTTTCCAATGTCTGCCAGGGCACACTCTTGACACTCTGGCAGCCTTCCGTTGCGCTGTTTCGGCCGAGCCAAAAAGTTGCAGCAGAAAGGATTTAGGGCTTGGGCTTCGGCTTTTTCAGGGTTCAGAGTTTAAGAGTCTCGGAGCATGGGTCTAAGGTGTATAACTTTGGGGGTTCAGGGTTTCGGGCTGAGGGGTTTAGGGCGTAGGCGTTATCGTCTAATGTCATGGCCATAGACAAGCCCCACATGCTACACCCAAGAACCCAAAGCAGAAACCCACCTGTGCCAGCAGCAATCGAGGTCCGAGCTAAACTGTCAACCCCCACATGTGAACGAAACCTGCCCAGCTCAGTCGCTTTGCGAAGCCTGATCTTGCCATCGCTAAGGACTATGTTGTTTGGTATCAGGAAGTAAGACAGCGAACGTGAAGACAGAACCCTCTAATGCATGAGATGGGTTTTAAGATCCAAGGATGGGAGGAGACGGCATATCACGATCTGAAACGAGCGGAGGTGGGCGAGGTGCCAGGAGACGGCAGTTCCAGGGATTACGGCTTATAGGGTCTTAGGGGTTTAAGGGTCTGGGGTTTAAGGGGGTTTATAGGGTCTTAGGCGAGTCTTAGGGGTTTAAGGGTCTAGGGTTTAGGGTATGAGCTTGCCTTGAGATGATATGGCACCGTCCAAATGTAGATGTTGCCCTTTATATTCTTTCAGTATAGACAGCCATGCAATATCGTAGAAGCACGCAAACGGACAGTGAATGCAACGTAAATCGCTTTACGCCTCGGCTTGCATCACATCTTTTGGAACAAGCAGGTCATGGAATGAGCTTCCTCCCCCTTTCAATTTCAGCCAACTTAGAAGCAAGTTTTGCCTCCACTGGCTGCGGGTTCAGGCTATACAACGAAGGCAGGACTCCGACATGGACTCCGACTGCTTTAGAATATCTAATCTAGTTGCTGTTGCCTCAAGTTAAGCCTATTATTTTTATTATTATTATTATTACTATTATTATTATTATTGTTATTATTATTGTTGTTGTTATTATTACTATGCCATTATGCTATTATTATTGTTATTATTATTATTGAGCCAGCAACACATCTTTGGCGAAGCAAGGCAAAGCGGGACGACAGGTGCGCACCTCCGAGCTGCCGGAATCGAGCGATAAACCCTGAATTGCTGAGCTACGCAAAGACTCCAAGACCCCTCCGAAAACAAAGGACCCTAATGTAGCACCCCAGGTAGTAGGATCCCTATTATAAGGACCCCCCAATATCCCTGAAAAAATGCTCATGAAATCACCAGTAGAATAGTTCATCATTCATGGGGTTTTGGAGGCTTCGGGTAAGACTTGCTTTACACTTGGACAGAGCCGCTCGCAACACCTCCTTTGAGGAGTCAAACTGCGAGTCAGCTCCGGAATCGCTGCCGACAGTCGCGATACGCCCAAGCCACGGATGGCATCATGCCAGTTCCTGGAGTCTTACACGGTTTAGGGCTTAGGGTTTAGGGTTCAGGGTTTAGGACCGAACATAGGATCGACCTAAGCCCGAAAGGTTACGACGGACTCTTACGCTGCCTGCTGAAACTTACCAGAGTCTAAACCCGAAGCCCTAGATCAGAAACTAGCCCTTGGAAGAACCTGTCCCTGCCTGAGAACACAATGTCCCCAATGGCTTCGGCACATAAAACATCGACGTTGCCTTCCTCCTTGCAGTCGTTGATGCTCTGTAGGATGTACTCAACGGCCCAACCGAAGTTGTCAAATGCGTAGATAATTCCCCAGGCGCACTCCATCTTGGCCTTGGAGGTTAGGAGTGTGTGAGGCTTTCGACTACCAAGCAAAAAGGTTCCTCTTAACCTAAACCCGAGACTCCTAAGCCCTTCTTATGGAAACCATAAGCCCTAAACCCTGAACCCTAAACCCCTACAGGAACCCTTAAAAGGACACCTCAAAGGAACCCCCGCAGGCCCAGCATCCGTCTCCGTGTCCACAACCGCACAGTCCTTCATCTCAGTAACAACTTGCAAGCCGAACCGAGCGAAGAAGCTGATCCTGGGAGATAGGGCTTAGGGTTTAGGGTTTAGGGAAAGGGGCTCAGAGTCTGGGGTCTGGGGCTTAGGGATTACGGGGGTTAGGGTCTAGGGTCTACATAAAGAAGGGAACAGAACATGAGAGAGCGATAACATGACTTGAGACACCATGACCTGTTGCGGTTTAGGGTTTAGGCTTTAGGGTTTAGGATTTAGGGTCTAGAGTTTAGGGGTTTAGGGTTTAGTTGGATAGCTACCCTAAACCCTAAACCCTAAACCCTGCTTGTCTCTGGAGATCCCCAATAGTCGGAGGCTTTCTGCGGCCTTGTCGGGCTTCCTGAATTAGTTTTGGGGGGAATGCCGTAAACCCTAGACCCTAAACCCTAAACACTCTTTATCAGATGTATTTAAAGCTTAACTCGTTCGTGAATTCGTTGCATTTATTCACTTTTTCCCTGCTTTTGAACAGTTTCAACGAACCTTCGTTGAACTTGCTCACTTTTTTCTCCCTGGGCTGACCTCTTCATAAAATTTGTTCACTTTTTTCTCCCTCGGTCGACCTGTTCGTTGAATTTGTTCACCTTTTCTCTCCCCTTGGTTGATTTTGGTTCTGGGCTGGCTTGAGCTTTGTAAGCTTTAAGTTTTAAGCCTTAGGGTTTGAAAGAAGTGAAATGGCTTCTTCATGTTGTGGGAATCTGTGGGTGGGTGGGATGATTTCCGATACCAAAGCAGCGAGCTCGACTAAAGACTGCTCGAACAGGAACTGCTGAACCCTGAACCCCAAACCCCAAACCCCCAAACCCTCAACCCTCAACCCCAAAACCCCCAAACCCCTAAGCCCCCAAAACCCTAGTTAGCCTAAACCCGAAGCTGTGGGAGCCGAGTGTCATGGCCTGAGAGTCGAAGAAACAGCTGGCCTGAGCTGCCTCCAGCTGCGCATTCCCAGGGGCGCCTTGGTGCTCTCATAGGGTTTAGGGTTTAGGGTTTACGGTTTGGGGTTTGGGGTTTAGGGTTTAGTGTTTAGGGTTCGCCAGCGCAGTTTTAACTGCGAAGGCGCCCCAGTCACTTTTGCCGGAGCGAAGCGTTACCTCCTTTACCTCCTTTCTAAGGGGACTGCTTCTTAAGCTTTAAACTTTTCAAATTTGATTTTTGAACTTTTGGGCGTGTTGCCAGGCTTTCCCAAGCCCCCCAAAAGGCCAAAAAACCAGTTTGGAGCGGGTGCGGGGGCTTGGTACGCTCCGCCAAAAGGGCAAAAAGCCAATTTGGACTCCCCTCCCACCGCTCCCCTCCGCGCCCCTGCCCCCTCCCCACCCCCCTCGACCCCTCCCCCTCTCCCGAAATTGCAAATTTACAAATCTTGCATTTCTTTTGCTCGTCAAACAACAATCTGCGCTGGCGCACTTAGGCGCAAGCCTTCTAAAATTTAGGGTTTAGGGGTTTAGGGGTTTAGGGTTTAGGGTGGGTACTGCCCCAATACCGTAACCGTCGATATTAGGGCTACTATTAAGGGCCTTATATATCCATATTATGAATATTGCTCAACTGTTACTGAGCGGGGGCAGTATCCAAGGTTTACGGTTTAGGATTCAGGCTAATATGCAATAATACACGATATTACAAGATCATACAATAAAATACAATGCAATACCACCTAATACAACATCATACAATGTTCTGCAATGTAAAACCGTATGATACAATGTAACACAGTACAATACAGCATACTATCATGATATAACATGATATAGTAGGATATACTATACTATAATACATGGAAGGTAATATGATATAACACCACGTAAAAGATACAATCATGCAACGAAGTATAACATAGCGAAACATACAAAGTATCACATGAAACAGGGTTCACGCTTCTGGCTGTCGGAGCATGAGGCTCCGGGGGGTGGGGGGGTGTTTTAGGAATTAGGGTTTTTTTTTAGGGCCCAAGGAATTAGGGGTTTAGGGGTTAGGGTT